AATACAGATACGCACATATATTAATAGAAACAAACATGTGGATGCAATTTGAATATAAATAATGAATTGTATTCAGTAACAATATTCTCAAGCCAAAACAATTCACTAGAGTTATATAAAAAATAGCCTGAATATGTAGGAGACCATGTACCAAGCTTGTTTGTCGAAGTGGCCACCAGTTCCTGAGGAAGGCCCTGGGAGCGAGACAATCTCCTAGCTGGCATGGAGATATTTGGCTGCCCGGAGACAAGCCCTCAAGCAGCTGCATGTGATAATGAGTTAAGATGGGTTCGTTAGCAAGCAGGTATTATACACTGAACATTCCTGGCGCAGCAGAGTGGGAGCTGAGCCCGTGGGGAAAGCTCACATAGCTCCAGTACGTGGTCCCCGACACCTGTTGTATACTGCTTGCATAAAAGGCCATGGCAGAGGTCACTTGGGGCTCTCCCTGGTGATATGGGAAGCCCACCTCTTGCAGGCATTAGTACCTTCAATCCATGGTCCTGGCTGTTTTTATTTGCCCAGCGATAGGGGACCACAGCAGGCAGTGACATAAATAATTCAACTTCTGAGAACCTGACTTCCTAGATAAGGGTAGAGATTCTCTTTTTGTAAATCATAGATGATTTCCCTGAAATATATCTTATCGGACAGACCACCTACCCACAATACATCTGCTGTGATAACATGACCTCATTCAGATTCCTGCTCCAACCTACCTCTGGAACATCCTCTCACCATACTCTACACACTGATTTTCAACTGGTGTGCCTTAAGAATATCTTAGGTGTGCCATGAAAATTTTAAAGACCATTAATTATTTTTGAAAGAAGTTCAAAGCACTGCCAGGCACAGTGGCTCATGTCTGTAATCCTAGCACTCTGGGAGGCTGAGGCAGGTGGATCACCTGAGCTCAGGAGATTGAGACCAGCCTGAGCAAGAGTGAGACCCTTTCTCTAACAAAAAAAAAAAAAAAAAAGCCAGACATTGTGGTGGACGCCTGTAGGCCCAGCTCCTTGGGTGGCTGAGATAAGAGAATTGCTTGAGCCCAAGAGTGAGGTTGCTGTGAGCTGTAACACCATGGCATTATCCCAAGGCTGACAAAGTGAGACTATTGTCTCAAAAAAAAAAAAAAAA